CCTTCCTCCCATTTCCGCTCCGCTCCCGGTGGCCGTTCTTTATTTCCGCCGGCCCCTCCCCTCTCATACATTGTTCACTCCCCTCACCCCTTCCCGCCTGAACCTTTATTACTCCCCTTTTTCACTCCCTTTCCTTCTTCTCTTTCTCTTATGTGTGTTCCATCACGCGGTTGGTCTCTCTCTCTCTCTCTCTCTCTCTCTCTCTCTCTCTCTCTCTCTCTCTCTCTCTCTCTCTCTCTCTCTCTCTCTCTCTCTCTCTCTCTCTCTCTCTCTCTCTCTCTCTCTCTCTCTATGGTTGATGTACAATGTGGGAGGGATATAGAGTGAGGGGGGGGGGGCAGCGAGAAGGAAAAGGAGTGTTATGACGTGACGACGGGACGGGTAATGGGAATTGATTCTGGAACAGATTACCTGTGTAGAGAGAGAGAGAGAGAGAGAGAGAGAGAGAGAGAGAGAGAGAGAGAGAGAGAGAGAGAGAGAGAGAGAGAGAGAGAGAGAGAGAGAGAGAGAGAGAGAGAGAGAGAGAGAGAGAGAGAGAGAGAGAGAGAGAGAGAGAGAGAGAGAGAGAGAGAGAGAGAGAGAGAGAGAGAGAGAGAGAGAGAGAGAGAGAGAGAGAGAGAGAGAGAGAGAGAGAGAGAGAGAGAGAGAGAGAGAGAGAGAGAGAGAGAGAGAGAGAGAGAGAGAGAGAGAGAGAGAGAGAGAGAGAGAGAGAGAGAGAGAGAGAGAGAGAGACAGAGAGAGACAGAGAGAGAGAGAGAGAGAGAGAGAGAGAGAGAGAGAGAGAGAGAGAGAGAGAGAGAGAGAGAGAGAGAGAGAGAGAGAGAGAGAGAGAGAGACAGACAGACAGACAGACAGACAGACAGACAGACAGACAGACAGACAGACAGACAGACAGACAGAAAGACAGAAAGAGAGAGAGAGAGAGACAGAGAGATTACAGGAACCCTTTAAACACCTGCTCGAAGGAACCCCCCCCCCTCACCCCTCCATCAGCGGACAGTGTTTACATCTCGTTTTCTATTTTATCTTTAAACAAACCCAAAATGCAAATTCCGGACGGGAGCGATATGGGCTGGAGAAATGTTTACTTCCGGGAGCCACGCGACTTTTGCGGCAACCACTGAAGACAGGAACACTACTTTTACGGCCTATGTAATCTTGCTTGTTTAGAAGGTCGTAATACCCTTGTTGTTCAGCCTTGTTAGCTGACTCTAAACACTACGAACTACTCTGCGGGGATTGTTTTCTCACCCCTCACCAGGTTTCACTCACTTGCACTAGCTCTGGAAGAGTGCATACTCTCTCTTCCAGCCATAGTCTCTGCTCCTGGGTAATGTGCTTCCCACCCCTGCCACACCTGCAGTGTCCCACGACTGGCACCAGTCACCCACTCACCCCATCCCTGCACACCTGCAGTGTCCCACGACTGGCACCATCACCCACTCACCCATCCCTGGCACACCTGCAGTGTTTCCCACGACTGCACCAGTCACCCACTCACCCATCCCATG